CCCCCCCCCCCCCCCCCCCCCTACCGGCGGGCTGACCCTTGTACTCAATAAATGTAGTTGAGACGGAATGTGTTAAAGCAGGGGCACTGAGGGACGAGCTGAGGGAAATTATAAACTAGTTAAAGATGGCGAATGCAAAGTTTTTCTTGTGTTGTGAGATGAATTCCAGCCATTTTTTCTTAATTGTCGGGTTTCCAACTGAAAACTAATTTCCACACGTCACGAATATAAGTCAAACAACTTCATTTTTACTGCACTGAAACGTTGGTGAGAAGATTGAGTTTCAAAACTCAATTCAAGATTGAGTTTTTGGGGCTGCTTAACGGCCCTAAAAAATCCCTGAAAAAAACCCTGACATGCCATGTGCCACGACGAAAAACCAATTGGCTTACAAATTAAAAAATTAACAATTCCATCGCGCTGTTCGCCGACCTTAAATAGTAGGATACTTTATAAAATCAAGCGAGCGAAAAGGGGCTTGAAATCAATTTTGATGAATATTTGAAGCAAAAGAACACAAATGTTATGCAATGGGAAGGATCCGTCATAACATTGCAGAGTTATGGAACCTTATGGAAATCTTTTACATCTTTTCAGTAGATAATAAAATAGATATTCAATTCGGTAGTCTTCCTATAGGAAGATGGCAGATGACGCAACTTCGACCTTGACAACTTAGACAACTTGACAACTTAGACACCTTCGCAACTTAGACAGAGACACAACTTCGACCTTGGTCGGTGTGCCTTATATGGCGCTCAATGTCATTTTAAAAATTTGTTAAGATTGTATGCAGATGTAACATTGTAATATAAGATAGTGCAATGACAAATAGATGATAAAACACAATAACACAAACCAATTATGATGCAATCAAATCGGAGTGGCGTGCGATATTGAAAACTCAAGGGCAAAAAGTATTCAATACAATTTACAGCTTTTACGTCGCTTTACCACAGACAAGAGCCGAAAAGGCTCTCGCTACCACAACTTTTACAAATTAGGTCCTTATCCAACTTAACCATATAAATACCTTTTGCTTCTGCTGTTCCATTTGCTGCTCAATGCTGGACATCCCCCTATTCGTTGCATTCTTGAGTTCTTCCTCCATATGAATTACATCTTTTCTGTGTTCGACCTCCATCTCTTCAAGCCTCACAGTCTGTTCCTCTTCTAAAGATTCCATTTTTTCATTCAAATTTTCCTTCATCAGTTTTTCCGTTGTTTCCAGGACATCAACCGTGTCTGCGTCTTTTGACATACGAGCCTGCATGGTAATATAAGCAAGACAATCAGAACAGAGAGATCTAGCAAAAGTCAGTTTTTATATTCTTCAAGGAGTATTGTTATAGTGGCAGAGTGGTATAGTGGATATATTCGTATCACCTCTGCTGACGGACCTTAATTCCTGCATTATATATAGTTGTCTATTTGAACACCGCAAGTTCTCTACGGGTATTCCGGTTACGTTCTTCTTGTAGTAATACTGGATCAATTGGAGATAGGTGTTACTGAATCTTAATGTAGATAATTTTCGTACTTGATGACGAAGCTATACGCCCGTATTCTAAAAGCTCACTCACACTCACACTCAATGAGTGGAGGTTCAATCTAAGCTTCTCTTGAGTGCCAATGCTGTTTTTGAATAGCTGGAGGGTGAGCAGTCACATAGTAACCTATGGCACTACCCCTCCAGCTATTCAAAAGCAACATTGACGCTAAAGAGAAGCTCAGATTGAACATACACTCATTGAGTCTGAGTGAGCTTTTAGAATACGGGCGATAGTATTCACTTCTGCGAATGCATAGTCTCTACAGCCAAATTTTATTGATAATGCCACCGAAAGATTACAAAATTAACTTTAATACAGATAAAGGACGGCGAGAGAAAATGAGTTGAGTTCATTAAGGCTGTGTTTACAATACCAATTTCGGCCCGTATTTGCTTCACGTGAACGTGCCCTCAATGGTGAGACTGAACTAAGATTGAATAAAAACAAAGGTATACTGATTACATAATACTATTTTGTTTCTGTCTCGAATAATATTAAAATTATCAAGTATTGATAGAAATAGCACTTCTGTGTTTGGAAAATTTTCACTTAATATTGCTCGTGGTATTATATGAATATTTCAAAGACACGCGTCTATGTAATTTTCACTAATAACTAACCAGATTATCTATTACAAATAATTAGTATATCACTGTCAAACAATCAGTGTATTCAGGGATGAGGAGGAATTTTCAAGCTTAAAAACTCCACATTCCCAAGGATAATTTGACCAAATACGCAAAAATTGAAGTTGGAAAAATAGATGAAATTCCATAGTAAATTGTTGTCAAGCTGAATATTCCATATATTCCACGTCACAATTCCTCATTCCGTTGAGCAGTGCCAGTAAACAAAAAATTCCATCATCCACAAACAACAAGTGAAACAATTTTCCATTCCAAAATGTGGAATAATGCGTATAATCTCGCGAATACACAATTAAGGCGGATGTGATTTGGTAATAATATATAATTTTGCAGCAAACACTATTATTGTATCTGTTTTGGATCCCCAAATTTGGAAGCAATATAGTGCATCAATATTCAGAGAATCATTCATCATGTATGCCACACATTCAACTAGAGATGTATTTAAATTCAAAATATTATTTGATTTCATGGTTATATTTACCTGCTTTTTAGACAGAGCAGAGACCTCATCTTTCATTGCTTTTTCCTTCGCGAGACTTTCTTTCATTCTTCTTCGTGCAGCTATTTTAGCGGCGAGTACAGCTTGATTATATTCTCTCGTGCTATCCATCTTTTCTTTGGCTTCCGCAGCTTGTTCAAAGAACTTCGCAACAAAGGACCGTTTCTCCTCTTCCGACATCGCCGTTTTACTCAAAAGATCGTTAAGAACTTTGGCTTTGGTGTCTTTAAGTTCGTCTTCCTCGATTTCAGCTAGAACATTATATATACCGCTTTCTGTGTTCCTTTCCTTAGAGCTTTCTCGAAGTTGTGCCGTCTCAACAATACTTGTCGCTACATCGGATCCTGGGTCTACATTCCTAAGGGCCTCCTCCTCGTCTGATGTCAATCGAACGCCTTTGCCGCTCATGGCACGACGCTTCTCCCGTTTTGTTCGCATTTTCTCTTTCAAATCTTGCTGCCGGATTGCAATTTTACCAGAAGCCTAAATAGAAAATAAAAAGAACGTTATATATCGATGTTATAGAGATCAGAGAACCTCCCCCATAACAAGCCGCATGTGTGGAATGCTCAATGGTATTTTGTAAATAAATCAAGAGATAAAACAAAACGAGAGAAAAAAGCAATTCACATGATTAACATGCAGAATCATAATTATTGGAAGATAGTAGGAATATAAACCGTTGGACAATTTGCGTGTATATCTATCCGAATTAGGGTTGGGCGATATTTCGATATTGATTTATCGCGATATTTTCAATCGCAATTATCGTATCGAAGGTAGAAACTTGAGGGACGATATATCGAAATTATCGTCATGCTCAATGACTATCGTGATATTGCTTCGCACGTGCATATAGTTGTTATAAAATCGTAAAAAAAATCATTCAATTCCTAGAAAATATAGTTTTTAAAAGAATTAAAACTATTTCCTGAATTAAATGCGAATTTACTACGATACAAAAGCTAACTGATATTTATGTATTAATCTGCTGATTGCCTGCGCTGTGTGCCCACGGCATTTGTGCCAGCGGAGACACAGTAGACACTGCATGGACAGTTCTGGTTTATGAACAGTAAATATTAATAGACTAAAAAAGCCTTCATATTACCTTATATATAAGCTTACTATGTTTTGATACTAATTAAAATTGAAAAAAATTGTTTTTGTTGCATTTATCGCGATATTATCGAATATCGTGATAATTTCCTTGACAATAATCGTGAGATGATTCTTTTAATATCGCCCAACCCTAATCCGAATTTTCACGTTTTGTTAAACTTGTGAATTTAGAGATTTTCCCCGTTACACATTTTTGTTACAAACAGTCACGCTTGCTGTGTTGCTTCGAATTACAATGAATTAATAACTCAAAGGAAAAACACAAAATTATAAAACATCGGGCGCAGTCAAAAGTCACTGTAGTCATACCAACGTCAGTTGCGTAATTTAATGGGAAATTTTGATCGTTTTCTCTAAGAGTGGAGTTTAATATTTGGTAATGAATGTTCTATCTGTACTTGCGCTATACCTCCATATGAATTGCAATACCTAAAGAGCAATAATATATAATCTTTAACTATTTTATGAACTATGAACTATTTTAATATACACAAGTATAAATTAAACTCAGCGTGTGAAATGAGCGGAGTTAAAAAAACGTAATTATTCTTATGTAATACTTCTGAAAGCCTTCATCGGAATGTTACAAATGCACAGTCATATTTTTCATTTTTAAGAGGGTGCTGATATGGGATTCCTAATTCAGTTTTCACGAGTAAATCGATGAATAACAATTTTGCGATATGGTATTCTTTGCACGGGAAATCAATGACCATTATTCATTAAGAGCACAAAAACAACACGCATGCTGTAATTAATTAATATACGGAAACAAAAGTACAAAATGACACTAATTTTAAAACTTTCGTTTCCGCATATAGAAATATTTGTCCCAACTTAAATGCATTTTTCTTGCTGGAGAAGTCCCAGACGTATTTAGAGACTGACTCGGAAACGAAATTTGTCCCGAAATATAGTCAAGCGATATTGCGTACTATAATGCATTGTATTATACATATCATATAACGTCGGGTGCCGTTATGTTATTAGAGACCTTACGATTTTAGGACGGCAACGCGAAGACGATGGCCAAAACAAATTCCTTCAAATAAATGGTAGTAAAGATAATTCGTCGTACATTATCAATCGTATGAATTTAATACAGTCTTACAAGTTGAAGACATGGGTTTTATGGTTGGGAGGAGTTCTCCTGAACCTAGTTCGAAGTTGCACTTTTTGCGGCTTGAAATGCAGCCGTTGTATCAAGACGTGAAAATCTGTGATTTGGCGTTGTAAACAGAGCGAAGACAACCTAAATTATTCACATATTGTAATTTTTCAATGATCTATTGTATTGGTAGCAGTTGCCGTCGCCGTTCTAAATCGTAAGGTCTCTATTCTTGAGTTTCACTACGGCATTATGTAGTGAGTCTGACGGGGGGGGGGGGGGGGGGGGGACTGGAACCTGGAACTGCGCATAATTTATGCAATAATTAATGCAATTTCAGGGGGAGATTTTCAGAGATATGTCAGAGAAATATATACCTTAAAAACGTAATAATAAAACGGAATTCGAACGTGTTCATGCATTATGACTATCCTGCGAAGTAAAACGTTTTTTAGATACCTATATGTATATTATCTGCAGCGCGTTAGCTCATTTCGTTTACATCATGTCTTACAATGTTTACATACCGCGAATTCCTGCCTCACTCGTAAGCACACGTGATTTTTAGCTTATAGTACACGGCTAGCAGCTAGCGTTGGTTAGTAACTTCTTATTTATAAATATCACATTAGAATGTGTTCTTTCAACATGATTCGGCGTTGCGCGGTCTTGTATTTCATAGAGAGTTTGGCAGCTGACAACGGCAATGGCAGAAAATTACTTACATTTTTGTATGCGTGCCAAAGCATATATTACTAATACTAAAACTGTATTTACTTTTATTTTAACTTTTTAAGTACTTACCTTACTTTACGAAAACCCTTAAGTTTAGCAATATTCAGTGAATTCATCATAAAACACTCCACACAACTTGGAACGTTTTACTGAACGGTTGGCGAGGTTATGAGCCGTGAAAATTATGGAAAAACGTAGCAGTTTGAACAACTACGGCGTACTAGAATGTTCAAGTGGATACATTAGGGCCATTTATACGTGACAAAATAAGTCGCGACTTACATAAGACGCGACTTAAATAAGTGGAGTTATCGCATAAATGGTTCTCTACGGCTTTGGTCTTATTTATTTGCTATAGCTAAATGTTGTTTTGGTTGTTTTTGTTTTAATATGTAAGGCATTAAATTTTACGTTGTTTCAAGTTTCTGGCATGTGTAGTTAGACTTTTTGTCCAAAATTTCTTTCTTTAAGACGCGACTTAAATAAGAACAGCTAAAAGACCTGTTCTTATGTAAGACGCGTCTTATCCAAGACGCGTCTTACATAAGAATTTTGTACCTTTTATACGACAAACTCGCGTCTTACTTAAGTCGCGTCTTATGTAAGTCGCGTCTTATTTTGTTCCGTATAAATGGCCCTAACATGTCAATTTATAGTCGCCTTTGTCTTATAGAGTAAGAATTCTATTGTTAGTATACTTACGCCCGTATTCTAAAAGCTCACTCACACTCACACTGAATGAGTGGAGGTTCAATCTGAGCTTCCCTTGAGTGTCAATGCTGTTTTTGAATAGCTGCAGTGTGAGTAATCACATAGGTTCATAATACGGTACGGCACTAACCCCCCAGCTATTCAAAAACAGAAATGACACTCGAGAAAAGCTCCAATTGAACCTCCACTCATTGAGTGTGAGTGAGCTTTTAGAATACGGGCGTTAAGCACACAAAGCTAACAAAGCTCGAGTATACGCTGCGTAATATTTAACTATAACAGCCAGTTATACAGGGTGTATAAAAAAAAGTAAGACAATTTTGAAATTGCTCTCAATTCCACAATTCTGTTCATGAAATGTAATTTTTGCTATATATGGATTGCTTGAGTTCTTAAATTATGGAAAATATAAAAAAATTTGAAAATAGTAAATTT